CCAGCCTGTGCTGCCGGTACTCCAACACCTGCTCCGTGGCGCGGTCCACCCGGAACTGCCTGTACTGCTTTTCCCTCTGGCTCGGCGTGCCGATGCCGACGCCTTCGAAACTCAAGTAGTGCCTGTGCTGCAGGGACTTGACTTTGAACTGGTCTTCCTCCTCTTCGCTGCTCTCGCCGGGTTTCTGCTTGGCCGCCACGTCGCTGAGCACAACCCTGTAGGCCTCCTCCACCCTGATGAAGGCGGCGGGGTCGGCCGTGCCGGAGCTGCTGTCGGGGTGGTACTTCTTGGCGAGGGTTCGGTACGAGTCCCTGACCTCATCGAGGGAACATCCTTCCTCAAGCTCCAGGATTTTGTAGGAGTCCTTGACATCGCCTTTGGGTTTGTAACCCGACAACATCCTGCAGAGAAACGGCTTCAGCTTTCTCGGGATCATGGCTGCCTGGCCCAGCAAACGGTGCCCCATGGTGTTGGTCAGCACGGCACAAAGACACGGGGTATTTCTTCAGGTTACATTATAAATAGCCTACGAACACATTTGTGTTTGAACTGTGTTAAATATGCTTCTTTAAAGAACTGCCAGGATTTAAATCTTATCTTTATCATATCATAGAATCATGGAATCATAGCACTTGGGTGAAAAAGGACCTTAAAAATCATCTCATCCCACCCCCCCAATTAAAACTACCACAAATGTAAATGAAAATTAATTCACACTATAGTTTTCTTCTACAATGGCAGCACGGATTTGTTTTGCAGTGCAGAATTCCCACAAAGCATTTTTATTGCCTTTCTTTCACTTTTTGATTAATTATTTTATTGCCTATCAGCCAACTCAGAGCAGGGTAAACCAGAAATACCCTCTATGCTGAGTGGTAACTGCTGAAACAAATCCTTCCCTTTTCCCCTCTGTACCTACATTCAGCATTAACTGAATTTCCCACTCCCATGGATCCCAATGCCCCAACATGTCCAACCTGGAACATTCCCAAAGGATGTCAGCACAGCTCATTTTTGGTACTTCCCAGCAACGTCTGTAGCAGTGTTGAGGTTATACATTCATTTAGACCGGCTCTTATACCCCAGCAGGGGCCAAACTCCTTTGCTGGTTCCAGGTAAGGCTGGAAACCTGGAACTGAGAACAGATCAATAGTGGTCAGTATTTCCCTCCGTCAGCAATTCCAGTGCTTCAGGATTATCTAGGAAAAGAGCAAAAGGAACAGCTTATAAATCAGGTCTTTATATAAGATCAAAGTAGAAGAATATAACACAAACTGCACTCACCATTTAAACATAGCTAACTCCTCCTTTATTCACAGAAATAAATCCTAAGGGAAATGCTGGAGCACTGGTGCTAAAGTCTCGGGGAGGGCAACATCCCCTTTGCTGACTCAATTTCCAAACAAAAAAACTAGGTCAAATCGAGGTTAATTAAGGACTGAACAGTACTTCTGCGTCCTGTATATAAAAAACTGCCCTTCTGCCCCAACCCAGAAAAGGAAAAGGGGATGTTCTTGGGAATGGATCAATCCTAAATGCTTTCAGCTGATTTTGATCTATGTCACTTGTTGAATCATCAGCTTCTGATAATGGACTTCATTAACAAGTGTTTTTTTTTAATTTATGATATAGAGTGATGATTTCTTTCGTTCTAAGTGTCAGACAAAGATAATAATTGAGTTTTATATAACCATAAAAGCCTGCGTCACTACTACTTAAACGGAGAGAACAATGACTACACTCTTTAAATCAATTACTGCTCAGAGCTACTTCTCGTAGCTCCGCAGCTATCACTTTAATACATTTGTGCTTAAAGAACCGTGCGTAGAACCCCCGTTCCACCCAAAGGGAGGTTATCCCCGGCGGGGACTGGGAAGGGGAACCGGGCTGAGCCCCCCAGGACCCCCATCCTTCCCTCCCTCCCTCCCTGTCCCGCAGGGCGGGGGTCTCTCCCCGCAGAGCCCCCCCGACCTCACCTGAGACCCCCGAGTCCCCCCGACCTCACCTGAGACCCCC